CCGCGCAGCCGTTTCGTCGCGTTCACGGAACTGGAATTGATTTCAATCTTTTGGAAGAGCGACACACTCAAGGCGAAGCTGCAGAGTCTTCATGGAGCCAAGGACTATCGTCCTGCGTTGTCTGACATGTTGTACTGGTGGCCAACCAAGCACCAGGCTACCTCCTCACGACACTCATCACCGACGTAGGACTGGGTCATAAAAAGCGTCGCATGCCCGGAATCAGCAAATCATTCAACAACCTCGCGACACCTTCACTTGCAGAGATCAAAGAGCACCTGAGAATCATTCAGAACGAGGATTCGACCCCCGCACTTATAAGGAACGCGTTACGTTATTCGCGGATCTATTCGGACCGATGGCTTTCGCCTCCAGTTAACGGCATTCAAGCTGAAGGAGCTCCTCTCGGTTCGGTACAGGCGGCATCCCACGGACATGTTGCCTTCTCGGATCACGTCCACTGTGGGTGGAGTCGACTACTACTTAACTGAGGTTCGGAACGTTGTCAAGACGAAGCAGGATGTCGCAGTTCTTTGGGACTGTGAACCAGAGAAAATCAAGATACTGGGTCTCGATCTTGGTCAAGCGTTTGTGGTTGGAGCGAGCGCTCTATTGCCTGAGAAGACCTTAGATGACATGAAAAAATCCGTCAGCCTCGAAATGGAAAGCCACGCACGGCAGTTATAATCCAGAGCAAGCATGTGTTACAGGAGCGAGTATGCCGAGATCCAAGGAGAGCTTCCATCAACAGAACAGTGCCGTCGGTACCGAACAACCTGACAATGACAATGGCACCGAGGCTTCCGCCCGCAGCTCCCAGGTCTTTTACAACCTAGCTGTAAAGCAGAAGGCCGTATACCAACCAACATTCAACTTTCGACGTTGGTTAGAAGAACGCAAACGGTCGATCCCGCTAGGCGCAGCAAAATCTATCAGCAACATCGAAAGCGAGCTACCAGCCCTTCGCGGAAAGGATGCCAGCGTTGAAAAGTACGTCGCGGGATTAGCAGGCGTCAAGGAGCAGCTCGACGAGTTCTACAACAAAAGCGCCACATTCAAAAAGCACCAGTGGGATGCCAGAAAAGCTAGAGAGGCAGAATTCGACATCATCGCAGATCGCCTGCTCAATATGGTTGGAGGATCGCTTGGTAGACAGCGAGATGAAGAGGACAAGGTTGTAATCGGCATTGGTCTAGGCAAGTTTTCATCCACGAGACGACTTTCCTCGTTACATGAGTCCTTCCAATCGTACTTTGTTCAAAGGGTTAGTGCTCCATTGCAAGACATTCGATTTCTTTTTTTTTTTTTTTTTAAAAAAAAAAAAAAGCTACTGATGACGCTAATGAGGCGCCTTACGTTCTGTGTCCGTTAGGCAAGGGCGCTCGGGTATATTGTCGTGGGCGTCAATGAGTACTACACGTCAAAGAAGTGTCCGATGTGCGAGGAGTTTGTCGGCCAGGTTCAAATACGTCGGCTGTATTGCAAGACTTGCAAGACATACATGCACCGCGATATCATGGCGGGCCACAATATTTGCAACGTTATTCAAGGGCACTTGCTTCAGCAACAGAGGCCACTCTATCTTCAGCCTGTAGATGAGAATGGTAGATATCCTTGGATGGAAGCTACACAGACAGTAACCGATAGCGCGAGCACCAGTAGCAGCAGCATCAATAGTAACAGTAGCACTAGCAGCATCAATGGTAACAGTAGCACTAGCAGCACCAATAGCACCAGTAGTACTAGCAGCACCAGCGCCAGCAAGGGCAGTGTGGCCCGAAAGAGGACAGCATCAACCGCGGCTGCAGAACAAGAAGGAGCTCCAAGGCGCAAGCGTGCGGCCAATGCGGCATCAGGGCAGGAATCGGCAACTAGCCAGGCCCCAGGAAGTGCCTAAACCCCATCTCAACCATATATGTGTTCGCAAGCACATTTAAAAATGATCGGTAGGTGTAATTTATATCCTAAAGCTGCATAATTCTGTTATTGCACGCCGAAATTCTTTTACTGCATGTATTTGCTTATGCTCACCAAAAAAATTCTATGGCGTCGCGTAGTTGGTGCGTTTTTAATGCTCCAACGGGTTGGCCCGATCTTTAGTCACACTGGATGCAGGCACCATATCCGTCAATCCCAACCGAGCTCTTGGGCAGTCGCCTCTGGTGCCTGAAATCAAGAAGTGCAATTCATCTTGCCTCAGACGTCAAGCGCCAGGGACAGCGGCTCATCGGACGACACGTCGAAATGATCTTTACCTCAGGGAGCACAGCGTGGCAGATAGGGAAATACTACACAGTATTTGCCCTAGTGTTTCATCCAGAGTCGCTACCGAGAGCAATCACGAAGAGCAAGGACATGATGCCGAGCAGGATGAGGAAGAAGAGAAGCAAGAGCAGGAGAATGTGTGGGATGATTCAGGGCGCCAAGCTTTAGACCATCAGCGATTCTATTCCGTTCTCCTCAACTACCTCTACAACGGCAATCCTGTTCAGATAAACAGGTCAAACGCCAACATCGTCGGCAAGCGAGTATAACAATTCATAGACCGAGTTGTAGATCTCGGGTTACTGCCGAAAGGAAACAGTAAAGCTGCGATTTCAACCTGGATGCAGTATCCAGCTTCAACCTTTCCCCGATCTGTTGCAACACAGCTGCTCAGCGAAGTCAAAAGGCATTACAAGCACGGCAGCGTGGACCTCGAGAAAAAGGTAGCTCATGTTTGTGCTTTAATATTTGATACATCCCAGAGGACAAATGAAGAGGCTCTAGTTTACCAGTATTGACTTTTTGACCATGATAGCTTCAAACAATGAAGGCGAAGGGCCTCGTAGCCGATGGATCATGTACCAAGATTGACGACGACATCCCGGCCATTGAGAATTTCATGCTCTTGAATCGGTCGAGTAAAAGCTTCCGCAGATTCGTTCCTCTCACGGGCACCGAGCAGCCTTTTGTCTCATTCTCGGAACGGGAGCTCGGCATCCTGTTTTGGCATCACAGTGCGATCAAGGGCAAACTTCAGGAAATGATGTTGGTGGATTTTGAAGACAAAAGCACTGTTCCTGCTCGGGATGATTTTCTGGAATGGCTTCAGACTAAACCCCCAGGATTCTTCATCACTGAAGTGCTTTCAAACATCGGCAAAAACAACGTGCGCAAGGGACGAAGGGGCTTCAAAGACAATACTTCAACCATGGGACTGACTAGAATACGAGCACACGTTCAACACATTCAGCACCCTAACTTTGATCCCAGGGGTTACAGTGAGCACGGCTACGTGCTCCGCGGAGGCATTCGTACGGATGGACATCGATTACAACTGGTGGCGTCCAAATTGAAAGAGCTTCAGGCAGTTCGGTACAAACGCCTACCGACAGAAGTCCTTCTACCCAGAGCTATATCAACCATTGGCGGCGTGGATTTTTTTCTGTCAGAAATCAGGAACGTGGTCAGAACCCCGCAGGACGTTGCCGAGTTGTGGGGTTGTGACCCTCAAGGGATCAAGGTACTAGGAATTGACATGGGACAAGCCTGTGTTATCGGAGCCAGTGCAATCCTGCCCAAAAAGACCCAAGGGAAGACCCGAGCGAGTTGCAGCGCAGACCTCACATCAATGTCGCCCAACAACATCGATGCAGGCGTTAACATGCAGGAGCCGTGCGATTCTAATGCTGCGAGATCGAAGATGTCGTCCGACAGTGCAACAGTCCCAGCCATATTTCCTCCGACGTTTTACAATCTGGCTGTTAAGCAGAAGGCTGTCTACCAGCCAATGTTAAAGCACAGACGGTGGATGAACCAACAGAAAGGAAACGGCCCAATAAGCGCGATCGAGTCGGAGTTGCCTGCGCTTCGTGGCGAGAACTCGGGTTTGGCAGACTATCTCAACGAGTACGACAAAGTCAAGCATCATCTGGATGTATTCTATAACGGCCACAATCACCAGTTCAAAAAGCACAGGGGGAATGCCTAAAGAGCAAAGGCAGCAGAGTTCCAGCGCATCACTAATGAATTGCTAAAGTTGGTCGGCGGCTCGTCGGGCTCCAAAAGAGATGGGAACAACAAGGTCATTATTGGGATCGGCCTAGGAAAATTCTCTAGCAGCATGAAACTGTCGTCGCTACATGAGTCCTTCACAGCTTACTTCGTCAAAAAGGTACCATATCTGCTACTGGGACGTTGAAGAGTATGGAACGCCCTTTGATACGGTTTACTGACTTGACCTTGGATTTTTCTAGGCTCGGGCACTGGGGTACATTGTGGTCGGCGTAAACGAATATTATACTTCCAAAAAATGCCCGGTCTGTGAAGACTTTGTGAGGAAAATAGAAATTCGACGGCTTTATTGCCGGCGGTGCAAGGCGATCATGTACAGGGATGTGATGGCGGGGCACAACATATGCAACGCTATCGCTGGCCAATTGCATCACCAAACCCGCCCATACTATCTTCAGCCCGTGATGAAAGACGGGGACTATCCTTGGATGGTCGGCACCAGCACCAGCATCAGCACCAGCGTCAGCGTGAGCGCTAGCAACACCAGCAACACCAGCAGCGCCAGCGTCGGTGGCACTCCCAGGAGTGGCGCAGGTCGCAAGGGGAAGGCACCAGTCGGTGCGGAAGGTCGAGATGAAAACGAGGTGCGTCTGCGGCGTGCCCGGGATGGCGCTTAAAAAGTCAACCTCCAACCATTTGTGTGTTCGCAACCACACTAAAAAATGAAGGTTAGTGCATTTTTCTTTTGACATGGTATGACTGACAGTCGAAGACAAAGGCTAGCACAAACTAGATTTAGGACGTATTTTCGCGCCCATTGTCCTAGACTCCTTACGGGAGTATTTTTTCCTTTTGCCACGCCTCTCACTCGCCTTTGCATCATCTCCCCAACACCGTTCTTTCCTTTGCCACCACTTTCACGCTTTTTTCTTCGTCTGTCTTGTCTTTCATTAGACTATCTACAAACCCGCTATCGTTAAGGTAATGAATGGAAATGACAATCACTGTCTCCAACTTGCAACCTGTGAATATTTGAGTCTTGCTTATTGATTCCACCATCGACAATGTTTCTCCCACTGCTGACTTTTTTTCCCACTCCTTTGTTATTCCTTTTTTTTTCTCTCTACCATTACGCTCTTGATCACTTCTCTCTTTCCTTCTTTTGCCACCACTTCTCTTTATCGTCAATCTGTTTCCGTGTTTTGCCAGTACTCCCTTTTTCACAACTCTCTCCCTTCGTCACTCTCTTTCTTCGTCACTGCTCTCGTTCCATCCTTGGTACTCTCCCTCCATTCATCTTCTCCGGGCTTGTTGTCGTTCTCGTTCAGTTTTCGTTTGGGGAGTGGATGCGACCATGGTTCGTGGAATGACAGTATTTCAATACTCCATATCTTTAAATGGGTATAAACATGCTGTGATAAGTGGCACGCTTCTCTAGCTCCAGCAGATATACTTCTGGGCTCTGCCGAGCGGGAAGTGGCCGCAGCAGCGCCTAGGTGTCTTTCGAAAAGGTTGTGCTATTTAATTGCAATGGTATTCTCTTTTACTGATTTCTTGCCAAGAGTTTTTATCGGTTGTTTAAAGGCTAGCTCTCGTATGTCGTCAGTACCTCACTCGCACTTGCAATGGCTCAAGAACAAAGTCGATGGCCAAGAACATGTCACTTTCGAGAATTTTGTCACTCGATTTGAATTGACCGATCAGTCATCAGCGACACGCTCTAGATTCGATAGGTTAGGTGGGAGGTTGATTTAGGAATCGCCGTCGGTGCGGCTGATGTTCCTATCCTAAAAAAAAAAAAAAAGAGGCGGAACTGGGGCACGATATCAGACCGCTTCCTCGCGGTGCGCCCAAGGCGGCTGGACTTAACAGCTTAGCCGGCAAAAAGTTTGACAGCCGTTCAAGCAAGAAAGGAGCACCGCAAAAATACCCTTTTTACTGTCTTTGAAATGTATGCTTGGAATTATCGCTGTGTTGAAAGATAGGTTACTCTGGATCGATATCGCAACAGTTTGACGATGTTCCCACAGATTCCCTCTAAGAGTCTTCACATAGAATTCGGCAAAATCCAATGCGCTTGTCGACCTTGACCAAGGAAACCCAGGACCAATACTATTGTATGCAGCTCCAAATCATGATGCCTCCGCCTCCATGCTTCATTGTTGGCTTAACAAATTTTGGAAATCGAATAGCAATAGCCTTGGCCTTGAGAACCTTTCTAGAGTTCGCCCACGCGCACTTCAGGCCATCGAAAGATATTCTATTGACTCTAGGCTCATCGGACCAAATTACGCGCTCCCCCCCCCTGCTTGTATCCGCTGACATTGGGCCCTAGCTCTCTTCGCTATACTCCTTAGCAGCTTCAACAGACATCGGTACCTCGCATCTTTGTATAAAATATTCCTCGGGTGACCTCCCTTTTGGGACTTGGATCGAGCCGATGACAGCATGTTAGACATCTCCAGCACCGTGGACTTGGATATTTTTCAGCTATTGTGTGTATGTGTGCGACTTGTTAAAGGAAATCTATTCTCCTCTAGGCGTTGAATAGGCTTTTTTTTTGCTTGACGGCGGATGGGGTTTTGTGAGCTTTCATATCGCACGGGTTTGATAAGGAGTTATGGTAAGT